CTACCGAGAGTATCTCGCCCGCACAGCAGAGCCTGGCAAGCTCCCCGTGATGTATTCGATATGCCAAACACAGTAACAACAAAGTCTCCAATGGAGACGTTACTGGGCCTGCTAGAGCAAATCGATGAACAATGGGAGGGCCTTTACCTTTATTTTCACAAGGAACCATTATTAATAGTATTGTAAACCACAGAAATTCAACCATGCACAAACAAAAAAATTCAGAGGTACTCAACCCCCACCAAACTCCACAACTAAAAGGATGTGTGAGCAGAACATCCAGGAAATGCACTATCTGGAAAGTACGTTTGTGAACACTATGGCACTACGACAACCTTCAAAAGGCACCGGAACATCGTGCCTGCACAGGAATGTGTATTCCTCTGAGTGTGTGTATGAAAATCTCAGTGTGCACCATGGTCAAGAGGCAAGTCCCACAGCCTGTACCAGAGCTGAAAATGTGAAATCACCATAGTAAGGGGCCTGTGTGCACCCTCCAGGCATCATACAACAACAACAGCAGCAACAACGAAGGGAAGAGGGGATGAGAATAAACAATCTCTAAGTGCATTAAGAAGGAAGTGGGAACACTGGGAAAAACAAAATATGCAATCTCCAGCACACAGAAGTCAAGTAAGCACAATGACAGGACATATAGCCCTACCCCTGGAGAGAGAGACAACAGTAATAAAAGCAAAGGGATGGAAAGGTGAGAGACTTTAATTTAAAAAAGAAATGATGCCCCACAAAAGTCAGCCCTCCCAAATTCCACACCACCACCACCACCACCACCATCACAAGAGTAAATCTTGCAGTCAGATGAACATTTATACATCATTTTTTTAAGCATGGATGTAGATAATACTTGCAGGGAATGAAACCCCAATATCTTGTCAGATACTATCAGATACTATCTGGGTAAATATTTACTTCCTCTCTCTCTCTCTCCATATATATATATATGTATATATATATATATGTATGTATTTTTTACAGAGAAGAGGCTACTAAGAAGTTTCATGGTTTGAAAAAAAATTTCTCTCTAGTTTAGTTTTTGTTTTCACTGTGTGTACACAACTAAGAACACAAAGTCTTAATTAATAGAGGTCAATATTGAAATAAAAATGCCACACATTCCAGACTGAAGAGATGGTACAGTGGGCAGGGCACTTACCTTGCACACAGATGACCTGGGATAGCCTCTGAGCCCTACCAGGAGTGATCTCTGAGCAGTCAGAAGTAAGCTGTGAGCAACACAGGGTATGCCCTCAACTCTGCGCAAAAAAAAAAAAAAAAAAGAGAGACACGCATTTAATTTGGCATACTTCAAAGCATACATACTTATTTTGCAGTATAGGAATTTCTCTGTAGATGGCTCCATCTGAGAAAATAAGTAAGGCAACTAGAGCGTTCTGAGAGTCCCTATAGAACTTCCGGTACAGGAAAGGGATGAAAAATGGCAGGGGAGTGAGGGGAGGCTCAGGAGTGTGTTAATAGTAGGAAGTTAGAAGCCTGTCTCATGTTTAAATGGGGGCTGAGAAGTAATGACCAAGAAAATAGCATGAGAGCTCAAGAACAAAGGGAGAGAAGAAGGAACAGGGGAAGATGTGGAAGAGCAAAGACTGGTTAAGACAGGGAGAAAGCAGCATGGGTACTAAAAGGATAAAAAGCCTCATAAACTGCTGGAAGGCAGCAAGATCTTCTCCATTCCAGCCAGTTTCCACCAACCCAGAGTCTACAGGTATTGACTATAGGTAACAGAAGGAAAAGTTTTGTTCACATTGGCAAAAGGCAAGCCCTTTGGGTTAGTGAATTAAAGCGATATTCCTCTAGTCGTGGCAGACCTCAGGACCAGAATTTGGAGATCAAAGATCCATTGTTTCAGCATTCAAGTTTTCTCCACTCAATGCAATCCTACCAGGGGCTTTTTGATTGGCCAGGAGAGTCTTGGCTGCTTTACGGTGATGGTCCCAATACAAAGTAAATTTGTTATGTACCAAAGGGGACAGGTTGGGTTTGGGAGGGAAACTGGAGATATTGGTAGAGGGAAGTTCACACTGGTGGTGTTTTGGAAACACTAAATTCTTAAAACAACTGCATACTGAACAACTTTGTTTTTAATAAAAATTAATAAAAATATCAATAAACAAAAATAAAATTAAAAATGAATACAAAAAAAGGTGACGATCCCACCTTCTCTGTAGAGTCTATATGCTGTGCAAACCACGCAAACCACTCACTAATCTGTAGTCTTCTCTCTTTCCCTTAGGCAGAAAAGCCTCCTCTCACAGTACTCATTACAACCCTGTGAATCCCTTCAACCCTCCATTAGGTAGGTCAATTTCCCTTCCTCATTAGGGCTGGCAGAATGAATGAACTGCTAGCATTTAAGTAAGACTCCTTCCATCAAAGCCCTTCGATGAGCATGATGTGAAGCTCTTATAATTGCCTTACCAGTGAGCCAGGCTCTGGAATTACCAAGGTACCAGGAGTTAAGAGAGCATTTAAAAACTCCACAAAGATGTGCAAAAGGTACTGAGAGTGGATTTGAGAGGTGAAGAATCAAGACACTCTGATTTCTTTTTCTGGTCATACCCAGCAGTGCTCAGGGTTTATTCCTGCCTCTGCAATCAGGATCACTCCTGGTGGGGCACAGGGGACCACATGGGATCGAACCTGGGTTGGCCGCATGAAAAGGCAAACACCTGTCACTGGGGTTCCTCAAAAGGCATTTTGGGGGGCCAATGAGATAGTAAAGGAAGTAAATCTGCCTTACATGTGGCAGACTCTAGATCAAATCCCTGGCACCACAGATGGTCTTTGGAGCACCAGCAGGGGTCTCTACTGAGTACAGAGCAAAAAGAGTCCCTGAGCACTACTGGGTGTTTCCCCCAAACCCAAAAGTTTTATAAAGTTTAGTGTCAGGGCCTGAGAATGGTCTGAATAGGAATAGTTATTTTAAACAATTGGGAAAAATAACATAGGATGCTATCTCTAGAATTAGTCATTTAATTCTTATTTTACCTAGCACAGCGGGTAGGGCGTTCGCCTTACAAGCGGCCAACATGGCCGACCCGAGTTCGATTCCTCCGCCCCTCTCGGAGAGCCCGGCAAGCTACTGAGAGTATTCGATATGCCAGACACAGTAACAACAAAGTCTCCAATGGAGACGTTACTGGGCCCGCTCGAGCAAATCGACGATCAACGGGAGGGCCTTTACCTTTACCTTTACCTTTTTACCTATCTCCAACCATGCCACAAAAGGGAGAAATTTAAAGTCATAATCTGGAAGTGTATCAGAAAGAACCTTTCCCCCGGTCCCCAGAATATTTCCATCTTTTAGTATCACCAAGATTTCCCAAACTTGAAGAAGATATTGGATCCAGATAAGCATTCTATATCAATTCTGAGACTCACCATCCATAGGTAACAATATCTTTACTTTGCAGTTGCAACAGATCCAGAATAACATGATATACAACTAGGGAAAAGAAGAATCAAAGCACATTTTTAAAGAATTTGGCTAAGTTGGCAAGAAATTACAAACATATAAAGAAACAAAAGGAAAACCAGGGACTCTGGGGGTGGGAAATGTACACTGGTGAAGGGATGCACGTTGGAACATTGTAAGACCGAAGCTCAATCCTAAACAACTTTGTAAGTGGTTATTGCATGGTGATTCAGTACAAGAATATAAAGAAAAAGCAGCAGATGATAAAAGACAAAGTGAATCTCTATTCCTTTGTACTCTGTTTATGCCATCACTCTCTCCCTCACTCCTCATTTTCTTCCTCACTCCTAGAAAACGCATTTTCCATGGTGGCTTAAAAGGAAGAATATAGTGATGTAGGCAGGTAGATAGGGAAAGGCTCTCTGCAATGAAACAAAGTCTCATAGAAGAAGAATTCTAGGACCAACCCACCCTGTGGAGACAGAGAATAAGGACTTGATAAGACCATCCCCAGACCCTGAAGATACGGCCCTCCTCCCCATGAAATTCCTCCTTTCTGAGAACCCCCCTTTCAATCCGGTTGACTCCAGCGACCCAGCCCCAAGGTGATTCCAGGACATTCCAAGTCAGATGATTCTCGAACCCCCTTTCAATCCGGTTGACTCCAGCGACCCAGCCCCAAGGAGATTCCAGAACATTCCGAGTCAGAAGGATCTATAAGAACCAGCTCGAGAGCCCACTTGGCGCTCTCTCCACCCTCGGAGAAGCCCGCGTTCCCTCTGGACACGTTACTCTCTCTCTCTCTCTCTCTCTTACTATCTGCTTATCCCTTTCTCTCCCTCTCCAAAAGCCTCCAAATAAAACCTGTTACTTCACTGCCCGTCTACTCCTGAAATTCTTTTCTGCGAGCGAGACAAGAACTCCAGAAACCTCGGGTAAGGCTTGGGACTGGTCTCTCCTTTCCTGCGAAGAGCAAATTCTCGCTGCAGCTTGAGTCCGTGGCTCCCCGAGCAATCGGGTGGCGGGGATTAACTCCCGTGCCGAGAAGATCAAGCGGACTTCAGGTGTGGCTTGACGGCCACCTTGTGGGGCTGGCGGGGCTTAGGCCCGTGCCGAGCAGGCGCTCACTGCAGACTTTACCGGTCCTAGCCTACCCAGGGTTCCGGGTGGCAGAGGAGGGTGGGGAGAAAGTGGCCGTCTTTCTCCTCCCCACTTCACATAAGTCACCCGTGGGGCCCACCGACATCATATAGGAATAAAAGAATTCTTAGAAAAAAATGCAAGTGTTTTCTTCCTCTCATTCCTTCCACACTACTTGGACATGCTTCCTGAAGCTTAACTGTGGACACAAGCAGACCCTATTCTCAAGTTTTTCGGTTCAGAGTGAGAGTCAGTTTCCTTCCTGTCTGCTTCCATGGCTTGGTTGGAACTTCTGCTCACACTCTATTTATTTTCATAAAGCCAAAGCCGATAGAAGAATTAGGACTTTCTGTTATTGAGTAATCCACAGAAAGGATCACACTAGCCACAATCCAGCAAGAAAGGGGAGTTAATCTGTGAGCAGTTGAGAGCAGCATTTTATACCATCTCAAAGGGCTTCCTTGAATTTGTCATTTCGGAGCGTGAAGGTGAATGGGTTCAGGAAAGGGGTCAGCATGGAAATCAATAGGGACACAATCTGGTTGTACTCTGCTGCCTGCGTCTGCTTGGGTTTCACGAACAGGCAGCTGCCATAGCCAAGCATGACAAAGGTGAAGTGAGAGGCACATGTTGAGAAGGCTTTCCTCCGGCCGGAAGCTGAGGGGATCTTGAGGATGGTGGAGATGATGTAAGTGTAGGAGATAATTGTTGGGGTCAGGGAACCTAAGATAATGAAAACAACCATTAAGAAAACAAACTCTATAAAAAGAGTGTTATCATAGACAAGTTTGAGCAGCCACCCTCGGTCACAGTAGAAATGGTCTAACACATTTGATTTGCAGAAGGTAAACTTAAATGTAGCATAGACTGGCCAAATTTCAGACAAGAACCCAAACACCCAAGACACATTTACCACAGAGATACGGGTGCGGCTAATCATAATGATGTTGTACCTCAGAGGGTTACAGACAGCTATGTAATGGTCCACAGCCATGGCACCCATGAATGCAAACTCTGTAGTCCCAACAGAAAGATACAGATAGAGCTGGACCTCACAGCCAGTCAGAGAGATTGCCTGTATCTTAGGGAGCAGCAACCCCCAGAGCATCACGGGGACAATAATGGTCGTGATCAAGATCTCCGAGGTGGAGAGGTGGCCAAGGAAAAAATACATGGGGAACTGCAGTCACTTGTCAACACAGATGATCACAATGATGACCATGTTTCCCATTAATGTCACTGAATAGAAGAAGAGAAAGATGGCAAAAAGAGTGAAGCACAATTCCTGGGACCCTAGGAAGCCCAGAAGGCGGAATTCAGTGGCACTAGAGCAGTTATTCATTATTTTCACCTTGTTTTTCCTTCTTGGGAAACCTGGAGATCAAAGAAGAGATAACAATGTTCCACATGTCCTGCTTTCAAGAGAGGTGGAGGATAGATTAGGGTGTCAAAGGATTTCCAACATGGTGATCAGGTGAGACACCTCTGTTGCTATACATTGCACAAAGCCAGACATAAATGTGGTCTCCTAAAATCTAGCCACAGATAGCTCACAGAATGACTAAAACACCTTCTGGCACAAATAACACCTTTTGCCTCCTACTACTACATACTTTGTCCTATAGTGGACAGAGGCTAATACTTTTTAATTATTGTCAGTGTTGAAGTAGAGTCAATCAACCCCTCTGATGTACTTTCGCACAAAAAGCAGATGACATAATCACCAACCACATGTTGCCCAAAGTGTAGAGCTTGAATGTGAGATTTCATTTGTACCTGGGATTAGATTAAAAGAGGCAGGGAGTATAAGACCAACACTCTCTTCAGATTTAAAACTATGTTATAGAGTAGAAGAATTTCCAGACGGGAACTCTAGCGCTTGACATAATTTTCCAGAGCTTTTGTATTCTTTTATAACTCCATTTGCTTTTGAAAATCTTAGATTAAAGGAAAGATGATGCCTGGTACTGACAAAATTGCCATCCACAGGGTGCTTGGACCTCTCTGCCTCTCACCTCAGCTACACCATTACTCAAATATCCTCTCTTTACAGGATTCTTTCCAGCTGCTATACCTCAAACAAGAAGGACATGAATAGACTTTAGTTCTCGTCAAAGTAATACTTATTGATATCGTACTAGATGTCATTGTTTATTTTACCCCTTATTTAACATCGAACAAATACAACAAAAAGAACAAACAAAAAAATCCTTGCTCTGCAAAGGTGATATTCAAGGAGGGAAATAGAGCCTAGGTTACATATAAAGTAAATTTACATAAAGTAAATGTCAAGTGTGTTAGCATACGAATGAGGCCATAGGAAAAAATAAAACCAGGAAGAGGCATAAGAAATTTAATTTTAGTTTTACATTGTTCATCTTTGAGATTTGAATACAATCTCCATGAGGGAAGAGATGTATTTTATATCTATACACAATATTCTGAGGCAAATAAACAATGTTGAACACTTGATAGGGGATGTATGTATATAATGATGGATGGATGGATGATGGATGGACAGATGTATGGATAGATGGAGGAATAGATGGATGGATTGACAAATTTATGGATGGATGGATGGATGGGTGGATGGATGGAGGGATGGGAGAATGAACAGATGTATGGATATATGGATGAATGGATGGATGGATGATAGATGGATAGATGGATGTACAGACGGATGGGTGGGTGAATGGATAGATGGATGGGTAGATGGATGAATGGATGGATGGATGGATGAATGAGTAGATGGATGGATGGATGAATGAGTAGATGGATGGATAAGCATTTGTTAAATGAATAAATAGCATTTGGTCCTGACTAGGACTAGTTCAACCATATCCCTCCATCCTTCTCACCTTGGTTTCCCTTCTGGCCTCCTATTATGACTCATTATCTTCCCTGTATTTCCTAATGCAACCTCCTCAATAGCTTTGTGGGGGTTTTTTTTGCCAGTGAGCAAATGGGCATCTAAGACAGAACTGTTGGGGATGCTCGGTGATCTGCGGTGTCATGATTTCTGCAAAACCAACACTAGAGAAAGAAAAAAAGAGAGAAAGGACCTGACTGACATCAGAGAGTTGTATCTCACCAAGCAATGGTATCAGAGGAGGCTAGAATTTGTTCTCTGCTGTACAAGGGACCTGGAGATGAGCTCACTCCACTCCTCAGGCTCCATTGTCCCTGTTCTATAAAGTAGAACTTTCCACCTTGACATTTTCCTAGTCATTGTAGAAGGCGGCTTTGAAAAGAGTTCACTCTCCTCTATGAAGGGCTTCACCGCCAATCCTGATGCTCTCCAGGATTCACCAAGACGAATTCCTGTCTGGCTGCTGGGGAATCATGAACAAGGGCCAGGGAAACTTGCTCCTGTCTCCCCTTAAGGTGACTTAGAAAACTGTCCTTAAGGAGGAACTCAGAAAAAGTCCAAAGTAATAGCACTGTGGAAGCTAAGAGTCTTTCTTTTCTACACCCCTCTCCCTCTTTCCCAAGGGAACTTAGTCACTGAGGGACCTATTATTAATTAGACTAGACTCAAGACACCCTTAAGCAGTCTAGAGGGGGCTGAGCAAACTTTTAATTATTCTTGGTTTTGATTAATTACATTGAAGGACTCTTCTTTAAAAGTTTTTGTGTAATTGATGGGGAACCAAACTTCTTGATAGCAAGGCTGTTTTCTCCCACAGTATAAGTTTCAAGAGAGATCTCAGACTGGAAGCAGAAACCTCCACCTACCCTATATTCTAGGATTTCCCCAGGGTTCTTCAAGCTATTTAGAGCCCAAACCAGCCCCTGTATTCAATAGGAAACAATCCCCCTCTCAAATATACACCAAGCCTCTTTCTGTTTGTCCTAAACACCGTCCCCAGTTTTCTTCTCTTCCCAGATCAGTTACTCTTCGAACCCAGGACTTCATTTTCTCTGTGTACATGCCCCAGGCGTCCTGTAGGACCCTGGGCTGCCCATCATCCCTGAGCCTCTTCCTGCTCATCCCCAACGCATCCCCAGTTTTCTTCTCCTCCCAGGTTGTACCCCCCCCGCAACACACCAGGTACTCGTAGGGGGCATGGCCTCTGCGGACGCGGGCGTGGCCTAATTTTGGGTCGGCCAATGCTCACCGAGCTGCAGGTAAATTACTCATGCCCAGCAACCTCCTGTAACATCTCAGTCTCTATACCACCACACCAACATGAAGAAACAACACAAATCCCCACCATGAGGAGAGGACAATGAAAAGAGTCCAGAAGCCTCATTAGGTGTTACTCACTTATGGGAGCTCTCTAAGAAAGAATTCAGATGTGAAGTAATGAAGATGTTCAATGAACTCAATGAAACAGTGAGACAGATATCCAGTAAATTAAATGAGGACATGAAAGAAACAATCGAGAAAATACAAGAAGAAATGAGAGCAGAAATTGGAAAGCTACGCACAGAAATGTCATGACTAAAAGATTTGGTAGATGAAATAAAAAACTCAGTGTGTGCCCTCAATAGTAGAATGGCTACAACTGAAGACAGAATCAGTGAACTGGAAGATGAGCTGCACGAAGCCTACAGACAACAATAATCAGTGGCAAGAGACCTCAAAATAGCTCTATAGTGAATCAGAGTCCTAGGGGATGATTCCAAGAGGAACAACATTAGAATCATTGGAGTACCAGAAGGTCAGGAAAACAGTCCCAATGAAAAAGGCACAGTTAAAGAAATCATTGCTGAAAAGTTCCCAGAGCTGGAGAATGCAGGTATCCAGATTCAAGGACCCTAACAAAAACACTCCAAGACATATCATAGTTAGAATGATTGATGCCACCCTTAGATTCACAGCAGACCTATCAGAGGAAACCCTCCAAGCCTGATGGCAATGGTGGGCTATAGTGAAAAAACTCACTGAAATGAATGCTTCATCAAATACTCACCAAGATGTCCTTGAAGCTTGAGTATTGGTCTCAGTTACAAAGCCTTAATGTCTCTGACACGTAAGAATTCCTCTCCTATAATATCTCTGACTCGAAAGAATTCCTCTCCTACAACATAAGGTGTCAGATCTACTCCCTGCATCTTAAAGAACCCCATGGAAAGGCTCTAGCCCCCAATTCCACTCCGGGGTACTGTGATAGGTCTCCACTCTTCTGAAGAAAGACATCTGTACACAGTCAAGCAATATTCTCCCAGTCATTTATTTCTATGGCATGTCCCTGATTACCAGCTGGGCCCTTTCAAGTGGGAAGAACATAAGGACAGCCTAATGTAGGCAGTTATATTTACAACCTGGAACAACCAACAAAATGTAAATTGGAAATCTGCTTGGTGCTGGAGTGAGACAGAACAAGTGAGAATTATAGAACATTGATCTGGAGTTTAGATTTAATTTTCCCTATACCTGTTAAATCAAAGCATGTCAATTAGTGTAGAAAGGTGTAAAAGGGAAATACACTTCCTTCTTTTCTTTAAATCACCCAAACTCAATCAGACTATTCTATAATTTTAGAGAAATTTCCTAAGCATGTATCTGCATTTCTCTAAAGAAAATGCCATGGAATCTGTTTCTTTACATTTTCTATCATTTAAAAATATGTAGGGGCCAGGAGTGATCCCTGAGTGCGCAGCCAAAAATAAACCCTGAGTACAGCCAGAGGTGATTCAATTTTTTTTAGTTTAATAAAAAAAATGTATAAAAGCTTTCTATATCAACACATATTGCCTGATTTCATTTTGTACATATCTGGGATACTCATCTCATTAAATATCCCTCTATGAATCAACTTTCTTTTCTTTTTCTCTTCTCCTTCTCCATCTTCTTTTTCCTCCTCCTCCTCCTTCTTCTTTTTCCTCCACCCTCCTCCTATTCCTTCCTCTCCCCCTCCTTTTCTCTCTTCATTTTCGGGGGCCACACCAGGGCATCAGGATTGGCGGTTGAAGCCCTTCATAGAGGTGAGTGAACTCTTCTCAGGGTTTACTTCTGCCTTGAATCAAGGATCACTCCTGCTAGGCTTGGATGATCATGTGGGATGTCAGGAATCCAACCATCGTCAGCTGCAGGCAAGGCTGATTCACGATATGATTTCTTTAGCTTTTATTAGTCAACTTTTATTGTTGTTTCCTTTCTTATTATAAAAATGGTGCTATAACTATTAATATAAGTCCAAATACTTTTATATGATTTAAGTATGTAGAGTAGGAATTTCTAGGTCAAAAACTAAATATGCTGAAATTATACTTTTAATTAGCATAAAATTATATTCCAAAGATTTTTTATTGATTTGTCAACATCTAAGATGGTATTATAGGCAAGATCTTAATTTCCTGGTTCCCACTAACAATCTAAGGTTTGATCATAATTTATTTTTAATTTTCAACTGAAGATAACAAAAAAGGTGCATTACAACTAAATCAATTTAAAAAAGACAAAATGATCATTTTTAAAGATTAAAATTATCAAAACTGACAAAAACTCATCAACTAAATCCTAGGTGTTGGAATGTTTTTTTCATGAACCCTGTCATTTTCAATATTACAAATTATTGTGCCTAAAATAAAAATTTTAAAAAACCTTCTCACAAAGAACACTCCAGGCCCAGTTGGGTTTGTATTTCATCCAATTATTTATGTGAAAACAATATTAATCCTACATAAAAACTTCTAGGAAATTAAGAATAAGAAAAGTCTGCTCCTTTATCTCTTATAATGTCAGAGTTATCTTTATAGAAAAGATACTACACAAAAATATATAAAAACCAGTATTCTTCATGAACATGGATGCAATATTAGAACATTATAAAATCAAATCCAGTAATGTATAATAGAAAATAAAATCCAGTAATATTTAAGAAGAATAATTTACTTAAGAAATTTGTTATATTATTCCAGAAATGCAAGGTTGGCTTAATCTTATAATATTAATTAATATGACCTATCATATTAACAGACTCAGAAAATTTATATAATCATATCAAAGAGACAGAAATTATTAGATAAGGATCAACATCTTATTGAGCTGAGTCTCTCTGGTGATGGGAGTGGTGTTGGAATTATGAGCATGAGTAACCATCATTAACAGTATTATAAATTACAGAACCTCAATCAGTAAAAAAGAAAAAAAAACACTGAGGAATCAACTCTATTGATTGAAAACTCTGGGAAAACTAGGAACAAAGATCTTTCTTAAACTGATATACAGGATTTATCAGAAAATCTTGGACTAGCACAAAGCTTGATAATTAAAGATTTAATGTTTTCCCATTAGGACAGAGAACCATGTAAGAACTTTTATTCTCAAGATTACTTTTCAACATTGAAATTCTACCCAACAAGAGGCTAGGGTTGTAGTTCAGCAGTATAGCACTTCCCTTACTTATATGAAACTTTGGTTGATAAATAAATACTTGGACCAAACAGATAGTACAGGGGGTAAGCTGCTTGCTTTACATGTAGTCAACCTAGGTTTGATTCCTAGTACCAGTTATGGTCCTCTGAGCACAGAGCCAACAGTACTCCCTGACTACTGCTGGTGTGGCTCCCAGATGAAGAAACAAATGAAGAAAACTCAAGCAGATGAAGACTTAATACTATTTTCATAAATCAGAAGACTACATTTTGCTAGATTGTCAATTGTCTCAAAATTTATTTACAGATGCAATGTGGTTAAAAATCCGAGTTTATTTATTTATTTATTTTGCTTTTTGGGTCACATCTGGCGGTGCACAGGGATTACTCCTGGCTCTGCACTCAGGAGTTACTCCTGGCAGTGCTCAGGGGACCATATGGGATGCTGGGAATCAAACCCAGTCGGCCGTGTGTAAGACAAACACCCTACCTGCTGTGCTATCTCTCCAGCCCCCCAAATCCGAGTTTTTATAAAGTAAATAACTTGTTACTGAATAACTTGTGTGTCAGAGAGAAAAATCAAAGAAAAATTTTAAATTCATGGAAATAAACAAGAATGAGAACATGAGCTACCAAAATTTGTGCAACACAGCAAAAGCAGTATTAAAAGGAAAGTTTATAGCTATGCAAGCAATCATCAGGAAGGAAGAAAGGGCCCACATAAATCACTTGACTGTACAACTTTAAAAACTGGAAAACGACCAACAGAAGGACTCCAAAGCAAGCAGAAAGAAGTAAATAATAAAACTCAGGGCAGAACTGGAATCCAAAACCAACAATCCAAAAGATTAATGAAGCCAAGAGGTGATTCTTTGAAAAACTAAACAAGGTCGACAAATCACTAATAAGATTCACAAAGAAAGAAAGAGAGAGAGAGCCCTAATAAGCTGAATCAGAAATGGAAGGAAGGAAGTCACAAAAGATACCACAGAAATTCAGAGAGAAACTCTATGCCATGAAATGAGAGAACCTAGAAGAAAAACATAAATTCTTGGACTCCTAACATCTCAAGGCTGAACCAAGACGATTTGGAATACTGGAACAAATCTATCAATATCAAGAATTAAAGACCTCAACATCAGACTGGAATCCATAAGGTACATTGAGGAAAACGTTGGCAAAAACCTCCATGACATAGAAGCTAATGGTGTCTTCAAAGATGTCACACCGCTGGCCAAGCAAGTGAAAACAGAGATAGATAAATGGGACTATCTTAAACTAAGAAGCTTCTGCACCTCAAAAGAAACAGTGACCAAAATACAAAGACATACAAAGACAGAATGGGAAAGGATATTCTCCAAATACACATCTGATAAGGGGTTGATATCAAGGATATACAAAGCACTGGTTGGACTGCACAAAAAGAAAACATCCAACTCCATCAGAAAATGGGAAGATGAAATGAATAGAAACTTTCACGAAGAAGAAATCTGAATGGCTAAAAGGCACATGAGAAAATGCTCCACATCATTAATCATCAGGCTCTGGTGAAAGGATTGGTATTGAGACAAACAATGTATGCCTGAAACCCAATAATGAATAACTTTGTAATTTCATGGTGACTATTTAATTTTTTATTTAATTTTATTTTTTAAAATGTTTATAAAGTTTTTCACACTAGTTCATTACAAATAAGGTTCAAACACCAATTCCACCACCATAACGATCATGATCACGATCATCAAAAATCTATGATTTTATATGTATGAGTGAAATATTGCCTTTCTCCTCTCCTTATGCCTTATGAATCATGATCACGATCATCCTGTTGTTCGTCGATTGCCTCGAGCAGGCACCAGTAATGTCTCCTTCGTGCTAGCCCTGAGATTTTAAAAAGTGCTATATTCAAGGCTCTTTCAGGGTTAGGAGAATGAGACCCATCATTGTTACTGGTATTTGGCATATTGGGTATACGCCACGGGGAGTTTGCCAGGCTCTGCCGTGTGGGCAGGTTACATTCAATACCCTGCCAGGTTAACAGGAAAGTATATTAAGATTGTTGTATTTCACCTGAAGCCATCGAAGCCCTTATATAAGAGATTACAAGCATATATATTAAAACCAAACAAATGTGTGCTACATTTGGTATATCTGTGGGCTAGAGTGCAAGTGTGTAAAGGCTGTGCGATCCAGGATGTTCTGTGTCGCTCTCTTCTGGGAGCTTTATTTCATAGTCTCTGGGTCTTGGCCATTGGTGAGATTGTATGGTGCCAGGGGAAGTTTGTGGGTGTGACTGCCAAGCTACTGGGGAGCTGGGGGAAGGAGGCCCAGTCCTGTTCCAAGTGGGCTTGGAGATCTCAGTCACGGGTTGAGCATACCTGAGTCTTTCTGCAGGTTCCCCTGTAGGTGAGGCTTGTCTGAGCTGGTGGAGAGCAGCCTTGAGCATGGCTGCAGTTGGGTTCTGGAGGTTTTTGGCTCATGGTGACTATTTAAACAAGTAAAATAAATCCCAGATTTATTGTTACATTGAAAATCTGAATATATGCAAATATGAAACAGTCAAAAAAGTTTTTAGGAAGTAAAAGTTGGAGGACTCATAAGACCTTATTTCAAGACCTTCTATAAAGGTACTATACTGTGTCATTTGCATAATGTCATATGTACCTATGGGCATATAGTTTGATTAAATAGAATAGATAATTCAGACATAGACCCAAACCCATCTCGATAATTTCAACTTATTTTAACTACATGATGTGTTAGAGAATATGTGAGTCAACTGGAACTTTTATACACGGCTGGTGGAAATCTATGGTCACATAAATACCAATTAGATATATAATGTGTGTGTGTGTGTGTTGCTAGGCCTTGAACCCAGGTGTTAGGTAACATTGGGTTGTCCTTGCTCCTCCCAAAGGGAGCTTTAGGTTTACTGAGCTACTCCCACAACAGTGCCCCTGAGGCACAACCAATTCCATCAAACTCAATAATCCCATATTGCTTTACTCTTTCCTTTATGTCATTTGCATGGTTTATTTAGCAATGTCCTTTTTGTATAGACACAGGAAGACAGTTGATGCTATGCTTTGTAACATGGAAGTCAATTGACTCCAAAATAATATTTACTCCTGGGCATCCATGTTTACTTGACTCAGTTTCCCTTAGTTCCTAGCAACTCCAAAAGCAGGGTCCTGACGAAGGGACTGGATGGACCTAGGGCAAGCTGTAAGCTATCCTGGCATCTAAAAGAGAAAAGCTAAGCACCATAAGTATAGTAAATTAAGAGCATGATTATGGACAAACTCTGTCATGACCCAAAAAGAAGTAACTGAATAAGGACCCTGCTGGGGTGAGGAAAGACTAACGTGGCCTGAGAACTGTGGTCTGAAGAATATAGTGAGATGTCCCCAGGACAAGCCAACCTTTAATCTTAATATATTTCTTTCTGTCCTCATACAAAATGGCTAGAAATATTATAAGTGAATTTACTATGATTGTTTAAATGGACTACTAGCTGAGGAAAGGAGAAAGCAATACACCCTGGATGGAATCCCGCCCTTGAGTGGATCTCCTAGTAGTTTGGAGTGCTGAACCCTCAGATGAGATTTTGTTCTTAAGTTAATCTCCTACAGGAGTGACTTTACCTCTATCTGTTGTTATAACAATGTTCACCCTCACCTATGCGTACCCCCACCCTTCATGATTCCTGTATAAGTGTGCTGTAAGGCATAAGAGGGTAGCATGAGAACTTTGGAGACTTTGGGACTTTGAGATCTTTGAGGTCTAGAAAGTCGACTACTAGAATAGATGACAATGACTGGAAGTAGAGAAGTATGAGACTATGATGAGATGAATAAGAAAATGTAACAAGGTAGAAGACTTTGAGTCTATGAGGAGACTAGGATGATGGAACTATGATGGCTGGGACTATGACCAAAGCTACGACTACGATTGTGCAGTAAGGGGAGAGATTGGATTATGCTGGGGAGGAAAGAGAAATAAACTCTACCGACCAGCCTGGGGCTTGGGCCCAGTTTCTCTGTTCCCCTGGTCCTTCGTCCATCCATAGCCATCATCCAGCTTGGGCAGGTGGTTCTGGGCCATTGAATGCTGGAATCCCCAGAGCGCCACCATGCCTTGTTCTTTGAAAACTCACACCCAGGGACTTGTAAATGCAACACACACCTTCTGCTATGGTGCTGACATCTGTGTTCCTAAATATATAGTTAATATGCAAGCCTGAAATTCCCTCTAAGATAGTTTTCCAAGAAAAATGACATACATTCATCAAAGATATGATTACCAATGTTGACAGTAATTTTGTTCACAATAATCTGCAAATCACTCAAATAAAGCTAAGTGTTGAGTTCTGATAGCATAATGAGTTTCCTTTCAGCCTTATGGGGGCTCTTCACTTTGGAAACTCTTCCAACCATGGCAACCCACCAAAAGCTAACCTTACTATCAGAACCCACTCTTCCTAGATGGCATCACAGGAGCTATAGGCCACATCAGACTCTAGGTACATAAAATGAACCTAGATTGCTGGATTTTACTGAGAGGAGAACAGTCTGGAGAATGTCTAAACTCAAACTTAGCCTAGGCTGATGGTCAGTACACGATCACAATCACGACCATCTTGTTGTTTGTCGATTGCCTCGAACAGGCCCCAGTAACGTCTCCTTCGTCCTAGCCCTGAGATTTTTTAAAAAGTGCCATATTCAAGGCTCTTTCAGGGTTATGAGAATGAGACTCATCATTGTTACTGGTATTTGGCATATTGGGTACACCACAGGGAGTTTGCCAGACTCTACCGTGTGGGCAGGTTACATTCGGTAGCCTACCAGTTTGTTCAAAGTAAGAATGAGATAATAAGATGTCGCTCATGGGAGCTGAGTTTTACAGTCTCTGAGTCTTGGCTGTTGATGGGATTACACGGTGCCAGGGGACCAGTTGGTGGGTGTGACCCCTGCCTACTGGAATTTGGAAGATCTGGGTGGAGGATGCTCAGCTCCAATCTGAGCAGGCTTGGAGATCTCAGCCCCGGGACCCACATGCCTTTGTTCCTCTGCCAGTACCTTCATGGTCAGTACATGTCTACATTAATGTCCCATCACAAGCACCCTGGGGACACAGGCAAGAGATCGTGGTCCAGGGGAAGAAAACTATTCTGACAACCTTGCACAATGGATGGTATCATTTCCCCAGCGGCTGGCTCCCATCCACAAAAGAGGGAATGAGAGGGGAGATTGTTCTTGCTTGGCTGCCTCCAAGCCTCCAAACTCACCTTCACACCTGTCCTGGTTTCCCCTTCTTTCCTCAGTTTCCCTGCTAGCAGCCTAAGGGATCTTGTTAAACCAGGTGACAGCAGTTATACGCCCTGATGAAAAAATTAAAAAGTTCTGATTGCTTCTTGTTTGGCCCTCTCTGATTCTAGAAATTCTTCTTTCCCACGGCATCCTGTGTTTGTCACCCTTCTCTCTGATGCACTGGCATTGGCCGGTGCTTTCAGTGGCTTTGGTTAGAGGGTTCCCTTCATGCCCCAGCCCACATCGCCTGGGTAATGCCAGCTCTCAGGTCAGAAGCCTCCCTTGCACATGCTTTTCCCAACCCTGCAGACCTGCTCGAGTTTCCTGACACATGCTCTCCAAATACCCTGGCAATAATTGATAGGCACATTGCCCAGAGCCTCCTTAAGAACCAAGATACTCCTTCCCTGGCTCCATTTCTGCTGCTGTGCCCAGCAACTGCCATTCAAGAGAAATGCCCTACAAAAGAACAGTCCTTTCCTAAGGCAGCCTGACCACAATGGCCGAATGAGGAGAGCGATTAAACGTCCAGCCCCGGTATTTCACATTCAGGACGACTCCAAAGGATGAGGGCCCACCATAGGGATTGTTTCCCCATTGAACTCAAGTTTCTGCTGTAACTGCATGCTGGCTCAGCTTGCCCTCTGCCTGGATGGCTCCACCTCATATACCTTTGCAGAAAGTGTTCCAAAGACCATCCTCCAGATGTAGAGCCACCTTTGCCTTCCTTTCTCAAAATGATCACCACTGGTTAATTCTATGCACACGTGTATGTATAGATTTGCCTTATGTAACATCTGTCATCATGAAAGAGCTTCTTCAGAGGGCAATGTCACCCAAGTTCACAGCTATGCTTTCAGCACATTGCCGGAAATCGGACCTTCATCCAAAGAGTAGCATTGTAGCACTGTCCTCCCGCTGTTCATCAATTTGCTCAAGCGGGCACAAGTAACATCTCCATTGTGAGACTTGCTGTTACTGATTTTGGCATATCGAATATGCCATGGAGAGCTTGCCAGGCTCTGCTGTGTGGGCGGAACACTCTCGGTAGCTTGCTGAGCTCTTGAGAGGGACATCAGAATTGAGCCCAGGTTGGTCGCATGCAAGGCAGATGCCCTTCCCGCTGTGCTATCACTCCAGCCCAAAGGGTATCCAAAGAGTATTCTTGTTAAATTTTATTCCTTGACTTTGAATAGCTTTTGATCTTTTCATATTTTTAAAAACATGAAATATTTTTGCCTTGCGGGCGAAATACTCTCGGTAGCTTGCTGGGCTCTCCGAGAGGGGTGGAGGAATCGAACCTGGCTCAGTTGGGCAATTTTTCAAGGAGGGGTGGGGTTGGGGGGCAACACCTGCTATGCTAAGGGCTTACTCCTGGCTCTGTGATCAGGAATGTTTTCTGGCAGTGCTTGGGGGACTATGCAATGCCAGGGATTGAACCCAAGTTAGCCACATGTGAGGCAAGTCCCAGCCCACTCTACTATTTTTCAAGTCACAACACATCTTTTCAAGAAAACTTTATGTATACATCAAATGAACCTTTTCATGTTTTTATTTACATAAGTATTTTATACATAAATACTCATATGTACACTGTTCCTCTCAGAGAGCCCGGAAAGCTACTGAGAGTAGCCCGCCTGCATGGCAGAGCCTGGCAAGCTCCCCGTGGCGTATTCAATATGCCAAAAATAGTAACAAGTCTCACAATGGAGATGTTAACTGGTGCCCGCTTGAGCAAACTGATGAACAATGGGAAGACGGTGCTACCGTGCTACTCAAAATTAATAGTCTTTCAGCCGCACACGCTAGGGGAAAAGGCAGCTCAGATAGAGAATGGAGCACCAAATAAAGGATGTTGGGAGGTTCCTCTCAGGATGGGAAATGCATGATGAGAGTAGACTTTAGACCGAAGAAGATTGCCACTCAATGTCTCTTTTGCAAACCACAGCACTCAAAAGGAGAGATATAACAAAAGGCAATGCCCTGCCACAGAGGTAGGGTGAGATGGGGGAATGGTGGGTGGGAGGGATACTGGGACTGGTGGTGGTGGAGAATGGGCACTGGTGGAGGGATGGGTATTTGATCATTGTATAACTGAAACCCAAGCACAAAAATTTGTAAGTCTACAACTGTACCTCATGGTGTTTCACTAATAAAAGTCACAGTCACAGTCCTCCCGTTGTTCATCGATTTGCTCGAGCGGGCTCAGTAACTTCTCCATCATAAGACTTGTTGTTACTGTGTTTGGCATATCAAGTACGTCATGGGTAGCTTTCCAGGTTCTGCCATGTGGGCAAGATACTCTCGGTAGCTTGCCGGACTCTCTGAGAGGGGCGGAGGAATCGAACTCGAGTCAGCCATGTTGGCTGTGTGCAAGGCAAATGCACTACCGCTGTGCTACCGCTCCAGCCCCCCACTAATAAAAATTTAAGGAAAAAAATTAATAGTCGTTTAGTATTCTAGTCTTTTAGTATTCTTTAGTATTCAAAAAACCTTTGTTGTATTCCAAGGTAATGCCACGTTTGTAATCCTATGTAAGTAAAAAAGTAGAAATTTCCATTTTGTACCTTTTGCAATTACATCTGTGTAAACCTCCTGAGATTTACTTGAATGCATCAGTTTTAGATTTTGAATTACAGTGTGCCCAGGTATTTAGTGATAACAGTGTATATTTCTGAAATAAGGAGCAAGGGGGGGGAGGAATGAAAGGGGCAGTAGAGGACGATTTAAAGAGAGGACCCAGTTCAGAGAACAGCAGTAAAAAGGCTAGAGAGAGTGCAGACAGTAGGGTGCTTGCCTTGCACACGGTCAACCTGGACTCCATCCCCAGCATCACATATGGTCTCCCGAGCACCACCAGGAGTGACTGAGAACAGGGCCAGGAGTAACCCCTAAGCAGTGCACTGCTGGGTGTGGCCCCCAAACAAGCAAACAAAATTCCTTCCTCCTCCTGGGCTTGGACCTGTGTGAGCAGTTAAAGGAGGTGAGGCAGCAGCATTGGGGGGTTCGGCACCAGCTGTGTGTTCTGCATCTTCCAGGGACAGTGGGGTTGTAGCTGACAGGTCAGAATCCCGCCTGGATTCTGAAGCTCAAATCTAGAACGTCTTGATGTCTTCCTGACATCTGGCCTTCTTCTTTGTGAGTTTTATGGTTAGCTGGCCTGAACTGCCCCTGGGTGCGCACCTCTAGGTGATCATCCTCTTGTTAGACTTAGCTTTTCAGGAAACCCACATCTACCCATAGTCCTCTCCAGAGCCATCTCAGTTATTGCCATGGCAACGTCATTAACCACCTCTGCTGTGACATTGCCTCTCTACTGTAGCTGTCTTGCTCAGATACCAGGCTTCTAGAATTCTAGGACTTTGTCATGTTCTTGGCCTTGACCTCGGCTCATTCCTGGTGAACCTGGTCTCCTATGGTTACATCATGAACACTGTACTAAAGATCCCATCTGCCAGTGGCCTCCTTCTCCACCTGTGGCTCTCACCTCACCCTGGTCTTTCTTGACTATAGTAGCAGCACCATCTCCCTATAAGTGAGGCCCAGCAAAGCCAACTAAGTGGAAATCGACGAGACTGTAGCCCTGGTGACGTCAGTCTTCAGCCCCCTTTCTCGACCTCCTCATCCTAACTTTCCGCAATGAGACAGGCAGAGTGACGAGCCCCAGGCACCTGGACAGGCACAGCTCAGTGGTGATACACAGAGGTAGAGTCCCAGGCTCGCTGACAAAGCCACTATTAAATTGCGTTTAGTGTTTATTTTACCTCTACATCTGAGTAATGAACACCCTATTCCTCAAGTCTACTCTTTGGGGCCGAGAGTTCA